AGGAACATTCAACTCAACAGGATGAAGCAATAAATGGATGCGGAAAGGTGAACAGATAACACCTATTCAATGAATAGATTACTTTAACAGGAAGGATTTTAATACTAATTACTCTGTATATATTACCTTGTATATCAGACAAACAGAAGTGAAGAAAATTGAAGCTGGATCTACTGCATGCATTCCAAGTCTAAACGACTCATATCAGCAGATTTCGATGGCGAGATGAAAAACATGAAATAATTACATTTTAAGTTTATTGTTTTTTTTTAACATAGCACACAGTGATACAGTATCATTTACTTGAAGGAACTGAAATGGATAAAGCAAATGTCACTAACCAATAGATATCCTCCGCGGTTTATTCAGAAACCCTTAAGAACACATTACAAACGAAATGGTAATGGTGATATAAATTGTAACGGCAAAACAAGTAGAAAGTATTTCAAGGCTTCTTTTTTGTTACCTTACAATGAAAATTTACATAGAGTTCTCAACAAGGTAGAAACAGGGTGACATTCAAACCTAAAAACTCAGAGATAAACTCATTCAGGTTAAGAATCCTATTGACTGAATTAAATAAAATAATTCGATCTTTTAAATACTATGCAACGACTGTGAGATCAAATGCATATGTTACACTAACCGATCAGCGTCAGTTAGATTATCAGAACATAGAAATGTAGACAAAAGTAGGAGGATAGCTCTTACTAGGATGAATAATCTAGGAAAAATGGCTATTGCAATGCATTAACTGACACACAATCATATGATAACGTGTTACAGAAAAACTGTACTTAAATCTAAAATAGTTAGGTGGTGAGAAAGAGGAAGATTGATTACTGATTCGTTGGTGATCGAACCGACACCTAAAATATGTAATACAAATGACGCAATACCTATACCGGAGATGTGGAAAATTTCACTACCACTAAAAGCAAAGATTATTATATGATAGGATTATAAAACTAAGAGGCCAAACGTTGCATGAATACATTGATATGCTAATGAGCAACAATTTATGCTCAAACGTCATCAAGTAAATAATAGTGTATCACTGTATGCTATAAATTAAATAAACAAATCTAGCATGGTAATGACGTAAAGCCTCTGGCAGTGGAACCCAAGACGTGCGTTCCGTCCAACAACATAAATTTAGTAAAGAACTACATTTCAACACAGTGCCTAAGTTTTTCACTTCTATTAGGGAGTAGAAGGAATATAAAAAATAAGTGTTTTATTATCACAAGTGGTAAAATTTTATAAAAACGAAGGGAAAACGTGAGGAAAAAAAAGATATGTCACTGTATGATTTAGCTGAAGACAAGGAATGAAAACTTTTAAGCTGCTGCGATTGACTCGGAGCAGTGTCGCCTAAAATCACAAACTATCTGTTTTTTTCATCTGTTTCGGCCTAGCAGGAACCTCAAGTTTTCATGTATGCCTCAAGTCAACCAACAAATTCCATACAAAAATGCCCCTAAGTATGATCATTCTTATCTTCCCTCCCATTTATCTCTTCTCTATGAGACATCATCTTTGACGTTATAGACCTGAAGATCTTCCGCAAAAAGACAATAAATGCCTTAGAACCAAAGATCCCAGTTACCATTGTATAGTACTATAAAATTCATCCTATTCTGCTGCATATCTCCGTTAGATAAATGGTTTACGAACATACAGTACTTTCGATCTAAGAAAAATGAAAATAATTCGATACACAGAACAGAAGTTTATTACATTCAACTGATAATGACAATTTACCGATTTTAATTCGGTCATAAAAAAATAAATCTTTCTTGAAGTAGTTTGTCAAGATACTATTAAATAGATTTCCATCAAACTTTAAACAAGTTTGCAGTTTAAAGTTTGGCCTACGGGTTCTGTGAGATATTACCGGTTATTGTGTCGCAGGTGGATACATTTGAGACCAATAAAAGTCATTTAATTGTGTTAAAAAACGCGATGTAGGCAGTAATCAGTTGTTGAAATGATAATCGAATTCATATATCCATCGTTTCCTGAGTAGTAGTCAGCCACCGATATCATATTGTCTAGTCACATGACAAAAGAATTATATCAGACAGATTTTCAATATGGCCATTAAACCATGTTAATCACCAGTCACATGCTCACCATATGACATTGCGAAACCGAGAGAAAACATCAATCAATTGCATATTTAATCTGTAGGTGACTTTAAGTCATATAAAAGCTCGTATTGACCTCATCCATTGCTAATACCGTGCCCAATATCATTTAGCTGTTTCAGTAGCGCTAACTAGAATTTCGTCACTAAGGTGAATAAATTAAACGATAAAAGTGAGTAGTACACAATTAAAATCTACTTAGCTACTTATTTGTTGGCTAAGGATCTTCTTTCACAGGTTATGACTGTGAAAAACTAATCTTTCACTTGCTGAAAATACAAATATGGGTCTTGAAAGAGAAAAATAAATCTTACTGAGGTTATGCATGAGTGCGAAAAAAAATACACTTTTATTATACACAATTAAATATGAAATGGTCGGTTGATTAACTTATGTAAGAAAGATTATTATTAAAAATAGACAACATTAAAGATCATAACAGTACTGGAAAAAGATCTGCTTGCACTCAGTTTTACGGGCAGTGTAACAAAGATAGCTCAACGATAAAGTGACGCTTTATTTTACAGACTGAGACCTCTCAGAAGATATCCGTTCCTTTGCGGTTGCAGACAAATCTTGTTGACAAGTGCCGAAAAGAATAAGCTCTAAATCTGAGACTTGTCGACTGCCTAAAATCATCTGACATAAGCTAACCAACCGTATATGAGTCATCTTCTATTTACTTGACTTCCAATTTTATTCGAACAACAATAAACAACTGTGTAACCAGTTTCCTGAACTACCGTCATTAAGTGAGTCAAGTGAAAGTGAGATTCAATAGGCAGTTTTTTCGTGTAACCCACCAAAACGGTTAGTGATTCAAACATAGTGTGACAGAGAGCTCCCTGCAAACAAAGTCACCATCTACATGTAGTCGGATACTTGGCTCTTGAGCTGTCGGAGAAGGAAAATACCATTGAAGCATATAACCACAGGCTTTTAAAACACAGAGCGGGAGAATATATATTTCTATAGTGTTGTACAGTGCCTGAGTTCTAAACTTATGTCAACTCCCATACATGTCACCATACTAAACTATTTAAAAATTTTGCTGGTGCAATGTACACTATCACGGCTGAAATAACATTCACTCAATTTATGAAGAAAATCATTTCATTCATTTCAAGAAACTGACGAAGCGTTTACTGTACTGTATGTGAATGTATTGACTGGTATTCTTGTAATATAAACGAAACTACGTGAAGATTTCAGACTTCCCTGTAATTAGACATTTTCTAATACCTCACTGTTTAGTCTCATTATGTGTATAACTGATTTACTGAGTGCTTATGTAATGTTTTTATATTTCGTTTGTGCTTTGAAGTTTCTTTAGCAGTTAGATTTGTTTTACGGGGTAGGGTTGCTAGCCCTACGCCCAACCTTCCCTCTTTACCCGGGCTTAGGACCGGCTAGTAACTAGTGAACTAGTTAACCAGTGCTTCTGTATGGCTCAGAGACTTGGCGCGTCACGAAAGGGATTTCCAATAAACTACAGACATTCATCAACAACTGCCCACGCTCGCTACTGAAGATCAGATGGCCAGAAAGAATAAGCAACAAGGAACTCTGGGAACGAACCAACCAAGAACCTATCACGCAACAAATATGCAGGAAGAAGTGGAGATGGATTGGCCATGCACTGAGAAGGCCGACTGAGGACATCACGCGTCAGGCCCTCGAGTGGAATCCCCATGGGAAGCGACGAGTTGGACGTCCGAGGGTGATATGGAGGAGGTCGTGCGAGGAGGAAATGAGAGCTTCTGGACTGTCGTGGAGCCAGGTTCAAAAGATTTCGGAGAACAGAGGTCACTGGAGAAGTGGTACTGAAGCCCTATGTTTTATTAGGAACCCAAGGGACTAATAATAATAATATGTAATCTTTTTAATGAAATCTTTTAAGGCATTTATTTGACTTAGGAGTTTATCTGAATAAGAATGGTAATTGAAAACAATGGAGATACTGAGTCTTTGACAGGTGTTGATCGAAGTCCCTCAAAATGTGGATTCGGTGGTTCAGCAGTTAGTTTACGGAATTCAGCCGGAAAAGTAATTCAACATCCATCCATATTGTTGTGTATCTTATCCATTTCGGAATAATCGAAAGCGATATCTGGTACAAATTGACTGTTTGTAGTTGATTTTTACCTATTCAGAATGTTGATCTCATAGAACTAAAGTATATTAGGGAATGTTTGGAGAGATATGAAACTGGAAATAGTATCAATTCTTCAAAACGTGTTATTGTTTACTTAGGAGCCTTTCATTTACTTAATATATAAGCTTTTTTTATTCTTCATATGTTTCAAACTTCAGGGAGTATGAGAGTTTCTTTGTAAGCAGTTGTTCCTTGTCACGAAAGACTGAATAACTGAATCGTCTTATTACTTCGTTCTTCAGCAATGCAAGCAGCAGTTCGAACAGTTAACTAATATTTTTAATATCAGTGAACTTGCTACAAGGTATGACGTATCCACTGGTACAGTGATTGTCACAACCACCATGTACCCTCCTGGGTTCAGGAACGCTGCCTTATTTAGGATTCTGATTAGCTGCTATATAACCAACTATCTACGAGACTTTAGATTCAAGTTTATTTAATGGAATTCACTAATTTGACATATTTGAGAACAAAAAATCTCTATAAAGAAAATATCATTCTCCTACTAAGCAGAATACAGGTAGTTCCGCAGAATCCCTTCTTTATACCACCGGACATACTTAAGTTATAACTAGTAAAGGAGATGCAACAGAACACGCGCTATCACTTTTACAGATCTCAATGAAGACTTAAAATTCTGAAAAAGGTTTCATTTCGATATAAAATATTTTAAAAAATATTTATAAACTTACTTTTCTGATTTTGGATGTGATTTAAGCTCTTTCGATTGTATTTCATCTTCATTCTGCGGTTCAGCCGATATCCCGATACCACGTTTTCTTGTTTGAACAGTTAAATCATTACCATGTGGTGGCACACTTCCACCAAATCCGAATAATGCATTACTCGCATCCATGTGAGATGATTGTTGTTGTGTTTTAACGACTGCAGTAGGCGTAGATAGTGAACTTGACAAACTGAATACACTTTGATATTTATCCAGTAAACTTGTCAACTCAGAGATTCGTTTATTTTTAGCAACTAACTGTTCTTGTAGTTCTGCAATCAACTGTTGGTGTTGTTCAATCTCCTTACGACATTTCACATGCATCTTTGGACAATCACAGCAACTAAAGATCTACAAATTTATAGGTATGAAATTTATTTGAATTTAAGTATATTGTTAAATGTTCGTTTATTGTTGTTTTTATAGTTGTTTATTTGATGTTGGTGAACAAAAATAGGGTTGATTGTTTGATCAGTTTGATAGTGGTACAGGTCATTTTGTAAACAAACCAGAAAAGAAAAGAAAAAGGAGACGAGAAAAACTCGACTAATGGTAAATCGTGAAAACATCCATTTTAAAAAAAAAAAAATTATTAATGACAAGACTCAATATGCATCAGAATACAAAAATGAACTAAATTTTCATTGTTGTTTTTATTGTTAAACTTACGTTGAAATGAGAAACTTTCAATGTGAAGTACTTGGTAGACCGAATGTTGATTTGATTAAACACTTTATAATTACTATAATGATTTCTAATAAAGTTTATGTGGTGTTTTTGAGCTTTAAATAAGTGTATACATATGTGGAAGAAAAATCTATGATGATACTACTTATACTACTACTAATACAGACAGAGTATACATAACTCAGTTTATGCGTATCTGTGTGTAGATATGTTTTCATGTATGTGTACGTTTCACTTTACTTTTCTGCTTATTGCATAAAAAATTGAAACGTGTACACTGTCTATTGAATAATTTCAAGTTAATAACTGTTCAACAGATAATGAGTATGTATCCACTTCCATTAAATAAGTGTAATCCAATGAATATATTAAAAAGGTGAATAAGCTGTCCAGTGTAGTGTTATTCAGTTGTTATTATTATAGTACAATATATATTAGCATTGTTACTCATTAAATAAACATGGATACATGTTCTCACGTACGTATGTGCACATTTTCACTGAATCCTGAAATACAATAGACAGAAAAGGCGTTCACTTTCACAAGTGGATTACAGTATTCTAAATCTAAGCCTATTGTGCTGTACACATATAGTTTGTTGGATAAAGCAGAAAATACAAATAATACTGCATGCTGTGATTAGTGTTATAATTAATAATCACCTAGACTTTTCGTTGTACAGACATTCAAATGTATGAATGATTTAATGATAAAGTGTTAGATGTCAAGGTGAATGATAGGCGTTCGGGGACACACACACACCTTCATTAGTGCAAATACATCGAGGACAGACAGGTCACATTGGGAATAATAATAAATCAACCAATGAAACAAAATAAGTGATAGACATGGCCACAATTTCACCCACCGGCAAACATGTAATACAAACAGCACTTGGTTATATGCAATAGGAACTAGAGAACAAATGCGTAAAAATATACTGCGTCATTAGAGAATGTATAATTGGTCGACGAACTGTGTAAGTTGTCACTTAGCTTAGTAAATGGTACAAAATACCCTGCTGAAGAACTTGAGTAGTTAGTAACTATTCAGGCTGATCTGTAAATTTCGCCAGCCAGATCAGAGTGATTTACACGTCGGACGGTCGTTTCGTTCGTTTGGGGCCGGGCTTCTCAGTGGTGTACCCGGACAAATTCACTTCATTGGAATAGGTGACTTGCATGGACCGAACACCCAAAATAGGATTATCACTTTGTAAATGATTTACAAATTGCACAGTCAATGTTGACATTTCCAATGAATTCTACCCCAAACGAGCGAAACCCCCGTCTGGTGTTTAGAAAACTTTTATCTCCCTGGCGATATCTACATATCAGCCTGAGTGATTTCTAACTACTCAAGTTGTTCAGTAGTATATCTCGCTTGTTCGTGACACTTCTGTGTCAGAGATCATACCTCCTGATCATGGTTCGGTAGTTTCTAACAGAAACCCGTCGATACGACAGTTAGGCAGCTGAATAACTCATCAGCTGTAACAAATGTCAATATGAACTGATCATCCTAATGACTGAAATCTTCACACTGCACATATAAGGTAATGAAAATAGATCAGTGTAAATGCTCCACTGTTCAGTATATGTAAATCACAACTACCTCTTTTATAATTCCGATGTCACGAAAGATTAAAATTTGAGTTAGAATCTTAGTTGTAAATGAGTTTCAGCTGAAGTTTACATATCGAAACACAAATCACCACAGACCCAAATTCAACTCATGCCTCTTTGCAAAAGAGGTTTGGAAACACTATTCAAGTAGCTGGGAATCTCTATCACCGAATTCATACATGCAATAATCGAAAGTTTGATCAAAATCAACCTTATAACTTCGAACAAGCTTCATAGGAAGTAATTAAAATATAAGATAAAAATTGAGGGTCATCAAACACTGAAATAGTAACCACCAAGTTTTGCAGTTTAGTTAATTTAATTATATCAATAGAATAACGTTCCTGCAGAGCTAAGCACATAGTCGATCAACCTCCTACCAAGTTTTATATGGGTCAGAATTATGTATATGTTATTATGATGAGTGAAAGCCATTTTTGCAATAATATGTCAGGGTTCATCTTTTGACATAGGGTACTGTGAGGTTAACCATTGTCCGTGGACAGTTGTTATTCATGCTTTAAAGTACCTATCGCAGTTAAATTCTGTCATTCAAAGCTGTCTACTGTATTGAAAGAACTCCTCTACCATCCTGAAGCCGATATAGTTTGATTAGAGTTCAGATAAAAGAACTATAGTTCTTGGCGGTGACTGATTCAACCAAAACATTCACAAACTATCGACGGGGTGAGATGCTGTTGTGAGGACGATACTCTGTTTTATCTGTTTCAGTCACTAAACTTCCACGAAGGTGAATGCAGTGGTATTGCAGAGGGACTATATTATCATCTTATAGTGGTTAATTATGCTTATTTATATAGATATTGAGAATCAGGAACAGGACCACCTTTAGAATCACTTCGAAAAGTAGACATTATTGAAGTCCTTACCATGGGCCATGAGGTGAAATGTTATTGAGTCATGTGAATAAATATTTTATTCTCATAGTCTTCGAAATGGGGCATAAGGAACTGGTCAGGAACCCAGAGAAGTTCATCAACAGTATGAAGCAATTATAGTTTTTAAAACTTCTCTCTATTACAATAATCTAGGACGATAAACTTGATTTCTGTTGTTGACACGTTATTGAGCTTTCAAGCTCACTTACGATCGACTAGAGGACGGCAAAATATCGTAGTCCTACTACGCAGAATTTCAGTATATGAGATATCCTAACAACTCACATGAAGAGTCTTAAAATACTCAAGAAGGACCAGTCCAAGTACTTTTCTTTACATCGTTTTCATTTTCGTCCTCTTAAATAATACACTTTTTCTTTACCCTTCATTTCACTCATTAAATCGATTCACTCCTCTTCCCATAAGGGTTTTTATCGTATTACCTTCCTTTTCAAATATGTTATCATATGATGTAACCTCAGATCTGAACTTTATAAGCTTTATTCACTCTTGTAACATTTTTGACTAGTTTTCTCATTTATAATAAAAATGATATTCGTCTGATGAGCATAATATTTTGTTTCTTACATTTGACATGCTACTTTAGTTACCAAATAAATACCGGGTGTTCGTCAAAATATACGCAATAACATTTGAACCGCTTTGGAAATGAGATTGTTACAAAAGGATGTTTCCGTTGATATAAACAGCCATCTTTTATTTGAAATAACTTACTTTATCCGTGTGTATGAAAGTGAATAGACCTGCCGGTCATGTCACTATCTGTAGGGTAAGGGGAATAAAGGAAGCAAGTAGGATTTTTTGGCACACACGAAAAGTGAGTGACAACTATAAAGGAAGTGTGCGTACTTTCAACATTGTATTTACAAACGTAACGGTACCAAGTTCACAAATGCACTGGTTTACCAAATATCTTTCATACATAATGTAATCCAGTCGGGTAATACTCTTCGGAGCACTGTTTACATAGGACTAAAATAACATGGATTCAAGTTGTAGAGGGTAAAGAAGCTTGTTCAACATTATCGTAAGTTCTACGAACAGTTTTGTAGGTGATTAACTCTACATGTGTGTCTAAACGATACCCTTATCTTATACACTGGTACAAGAATTCTTTTTTTGAGGTTTTGAAAACTTAATTTTCCAGATATGTTGGATTTATGCAAATACTAAGATCAGTTACTCTAGAAATAGTCAAGTCTTGTGGAAAGATTCGTGACCACTAAATTTTGAAGCCAGGATTCTCTATATAAAACGATAGACTACAAGTAATTATTCATCAAAAATGGAAAGCAGTTTAGTGTTACTCTATGAAGCACGCTCATAACCTCTAATGTTTACAAAGTATTAGTTGCATAGATAATAATACCAAAAGTAATGACATTTGACATTCTACACGGGACTTCCCATCTCTAATTTGCGCTTCAGGAATATTCAGTCAATTTATTTACTCTATTCATTCTGCGAACTACACTATGCACCTTTTGAGAACGTTTTTCGTCATAATCTGACACCAATCTAGAAAAGCACTGAAACTAAGGAGTCAGCTAACAGATGTTCCATCCTAATTCGCAAATTCTTAACAATGCAAATACAAAGTATCACATGAGATTGAGCTCTATGCTGTCAGGCCTTATCACGAACCACCTAAAATGCATAATCAATTTGGAATTCGGTGATTTACATATGCTATTGTCCGTCAGTTCACAACACCATATGACCATTATGTGATAACACTGATGAGCCCTTGTCCTGACTTTCTACTTATTCGCCACGTGACTAACCGTAATATCCATGAGAGGAGTAGAATACGCCGTTCAAGGTAATTTTACGTAGGAATTATAACTGTGAGTGGGCAGTTTGAGTGCAAAATTTGCACCATATACCTTTTCCAGCTCAATATAGTAAGTGGTGAAAGACTTAAACCGATTGTAGACTCACATTAAATTTGTTTGCATTGAAACTAACCCAGTAGTCAAACCCACTTCTGGGCAGCAATCAAAATAGCTTGATAAAGGAAGTCACTGAGCAAAGAGATACTTTACTTTAGTGCTAAATAATGAGAGTCACTTTCCATGGTGTTCGAGACTTATAATACCAAAAACAGTAGACTACAGTTTTGTGCCTTCTAAGTTATTGACCACATTGAAAACTGATGGTTTCTGGACTTCTTCTGTCCAGTTGAACCCTGGGGTTACATCGGTCCCTGTTGGATAAGTAATATGTTTACGCAGTTCATTCTGACAACGAGATCCTTTTTGTTTGAATAGCCGACATGTAATACATTTGACTTGAGCACTTTGTGATCAAGATTCGAGTATCCTAGAAGACACCAGTTTCCTCAAAATCGAAGACATACCTTACTAATGCATGTGAACAAGCTTTCTCCCATAAACCTTTAGTGCTTAATACCAAATTCATACATAACTAGCTTATATCACCCCAGAGAGTTGTTTACATTAAGTAGACCATCCCTAATGGCATAGATTTTATGCTTTAATGAGTATTTGCTGCAGATATTCCAGCTTTGTTTCTCGATTTTTTTTTACTGAATTCCTAATGCTGGTGTCATCAGCTACAAGAGGATTGAGGGTCGTAATTTTGCACTCATTATAAGACCAGAAAGTTGGCCATGTGTCAGAATGTTAATTGGTTTTAGTTGTTTTGGTAAATATGGCAAATTATATTACCGGTTCACTCGCTAGATAACATTTCGAGAACAGCCTATAGTATATAATCGTTCCAGGATGACTGCATAATATTAAGATCCGTTACCTATCTTTCTTACTGTTCGTATCTCTTAATTATAGTGGTATAAAAGTTGACCACATATCTGAAGCCAGCAGTTAAACCACCTCTTTCGTATGAGTCTGATGTTAATTTGGCAAATACAGATTCATTTATCAACCTCTTCCTCCACCTAATTTAACTTTCCAGAGTCATTGTATCCTATCTAGTTGTACGACCGGTTGTATGGGCTATCACATATGGCCAGGGGCCAACTACTTTCTAAATTCTTTTTACCTTAGAGACTGAAATTCCACATTTTGGCTGAATTTTCTTGCTCAATAAATTACTTGACCAGATTTGATTACTACAATCAGTGTACTTGACTCAATAGTCAGTGCGTAGAATTCAGTAGGTTA